GTGTCAATTTTCTGTAAATTTGTAAAAGCTACTAATACAAGGAGCGAAGCGTGTCGATTACATTTAGCTACTTCATTTATCCAACCTCCAGGTTTACAGTAGGATCTTTCTCTTTAAAAAAATAAAATTAAAAAATCAACTTGTCCAGCAAAATGCCTAATTTTATTGCATACTTTAAATTTGTTTTATTACTTCAAAGTGGTGTATGTCCCTCGCTACATCGCTGTTCAACTTCCGTGGACTTGATCTATTGCAGTTTGTGAGCGTACAGTACAGACTAGTGTACTATACAAAATATAAATAAACAAAATACGTACAGGACACGATTGTCAACTTTAATATACTCACATGATTGGGACAGTACGAGATAGAGTAAAAATTTTACGAAAAATAAAATACTTTGGACATGCGCAGCCATTTTGTAGTTTTCTCTAAGTAAGACTACACTGTATACCAGCTCATAATGACTACATTTCCCAGAAGCCCCGTTTCCTTCTACTGAAACACAGAGGGAAAGTTTTGATCTGATCTGAAAAAGTTTGGTGCTTATTACAGTGACTTTGGCGCCCAGAGAGATGCAAGGAACCCACCGAACCAAAGCAGAACCGGAGCAGAACCAGACCTCCAGACCCATTGGTGAATCTTAAGAGCTGGCAGCCGGCCCACAAGGACTTCTGCGCAGGGATGCGTGTCGCCGAAGGTCCGGGGTTGTTTCCCGAGCCCATCGGGACTTTGCTCATCCAGACTTGGACTCAGTCGAGCACCTATGGTCCCACACTGGCCAACTGAATGTCTGTGTCCCCCCCCCCCAACTTAATTTAACTTGAGGTAAGTTTTATTAAAGTTGGATAAGTTAGAATTAAATCCTGCTAACACAAAACATGTTTTTTTTTTATTCCTAGCTTTAAAGTGGATACGACTGTCTGCTTCGGACTTAACGAGAGAAACACACCGCTGAAGCCACGGAGCTCGAACGCCCAACGTAAAACTAACTTTACCGCGGTGCCTGGCTAAACAATCCTCGTGCGCTTTAATGTGATGCTTTTTCAAATGTTTAAGTTCGGTGTATTGTAGGTCTCCTCTCGGTACAGTGGCTCTGCAGACATTGCACGTTGCTGTCTTGCGGCGTTTAGTGTAAAATATTTTCACACAGCGGACATGTTACGATGAAAAGTTGGTTAGCCGTTGGCAACAGTGCTGCTCAGTGCTCAGCCCTCAAAAAAGTATTTACTCACGTTGTAGCTGGCTACAAACAATGAAATGGATGAAATGGGTTCACGAGACACGCCTCCGTTCAGGAAATCCATTCCATAGTTTGAAGCCAACCTGAAGAGCAGGTCATCAGACACAGACATTCATCATGGATCGGAAAAATCCCGATACGTAAATTACGCTGGTATCGGAGGCCGTTACCGATACCAGATCGGCCCCATCCCTAATTTTGGGTTCATTATGCGAGCATTGATTCCAGACAGTCGGTGCCTCACCCGTCAACAAACCTCACTGCACGTCACTGACTCTACAAAATTATAAGTCAGAAAAACTCATAATCCTGCAGAGACTCAGTATAAACAATGTTTTTTCCTACTTTTGGTCTTTCCTTTTACTCTAAAATGTAAAAATATCAATAAATGTAAAAATTCATTATATATTTTTAGTTTTAAAATGTCAGCCCAAATGGACAGAAAAGCCCTCCTCCAGCGACCTCTAAGTGGCCCACGGGCCACCAGTTGATAAGCAGGTTTTGCGGCTCCAGACAAATTTTATTCAGCGAGTGGCTCTTTAGATCAAAAAGATTGCAGACCCGTGAACTAGACCAAACTTTAGTTTGACGTCTGAATTAAAGTCATTATGTGTATCCTAATGCGAGGTGGGTGTGACGGCCATCTTGGATTAGACCGATTCAAAGGTTCATTTAGTGAAACACAAACTCACCAACATGCAGTGTCACGTTCTGTCTTTATGATTGTCTTTGTTTGGTGTTTTACATTCGTTTTCCACAAGGTTTTCCTTGTTTTTTGTTTTCAGGCGGTCAGTTCACCCTTCCTTAGCTGGTTCCCATTCCTCAGCTCATGCCCCGCCCACTCTCACCTGTTCAGTTGCGATGTTGCCCAGGTGTCTCCACTCCTCTCGTCAATTTTATTTTCTAGCTGCAGCCACGTCAGCTTATAGTTAACATTATTACATTGCTTTTTTTTGTTTTTTTCCAAGCTCTTTCCATTCCTCTACAAACTGTGACGTGGCTAAAAACATCCCCCCCCCCCCCCCCACACACACACACAGCAGGCGACAATGCTGCTGTTGATGGAGAATCAAAACTAGAACCACCAACACAATAAAAAACACAGTTGTCTCATTCAGGCGAGTCTCTTCGTATATGAATCATGTTTCCAGTAAGAGCAGATGGTTTAAGTCAGTTTCCTCCCAGATAGTAGACCGCACCGAGGGTTCGCTGTAACACTGATATGAACAGAAATGCTTGTCGCGTTTTAAACCCAGCCAGCAGAAACTCACTCGGTTCTTGTGTTCGCGCAGAATAAATCCTACTGGCCTCCTTCAGTTCAGACGTGTAGCTGCTTCAGATGCACATTCAGAAGCACGCAACAACATTTTACTTTTGGTCCTACGCTTGTGCGGACTCCTCCTCTACATCGTGGTTAGATGTTTCCTGAGCGCCAGGCTTGTCGGAGGAGTCATCTGTGAAACGATACGAGAAGCATCACAAACAAAAAACGTCCAGATTTACCCTATTTTTCGGCTTACAAGGCACATTAAGCAAAGCAAGTCAAACGTTATTCAACTCATTCACAATAACTACATAAAATCAGTTGGAGGTCAGTAAGCACAACCAGAATTAATACATACGGCGCACTGTTGATTTTTAAAAAAAATTAAAGGATTTTAAGTGCGCCTTGAAAAATACGGAAAAAGGAAACGCTTGAAAGGCCTTCAGAAAATCTGAAGCACTGTTGATCCAGTCCACTTCTAAACACGGTGGGAAAGAGAATGCTTGGAAGGGAAATGTAAAGCAATGAGAAGTGTGAAAGGGAAATGTTTTAAATGAGGTTCATACTGGAAAACCGTTCCACCTCTTGGTGGGTGAGGTCATATTTTACTCACCGGTGTCGACGTTTGGTTTTTGCTGCTGACTAAGAGCTGTAAGAAAAGAAAAAAAAATCACCACACTGGAAAAAACAAAATGTTCTAATTTTCCAAAACAACTTTTCCTGTTTTTAACCATCAAGAGTAACATGTTCATCACCTTCAGTCGATGGTGTGCTTTTCAACGGTATAGCACCTGTAGAACATACAAAACAACTC